AACGGTGAGATCTAATAATTGATTATATTATTAATGCCTATAATTCAAACATAATTATTCATTTAATTAGAGAAACCAGCTTTTAGCTCTATAATAGTTAAATTAAACAAAGACTAAAAATTACCATAATAGAACCCTGCACATCATCACTACCATTAGCTTAAATTTTCTTGATTGAGTTTGAGATTATGATTAAATTTAATTAACAGCTAAACTTCCCTCGTGTAACAGTAAGAGAAAGTGTACATTAGCAGTTAGCACACACACGAAAATTTATACTAAAACATAAATATAAGTTATTATTGGAAGAAATCATAATAATAGCAGAAACAGAAGCAAGAAATGTTATAATTGATTTGTTCCAATTATGTTCAATTTCATAGCCTTTTTCGTTTCATGAAATGTTTTCCCTTTCTTGTATGTTTTCTATGTTTTGAGACTAGCTAGCTAGCTAGTTTACATTAAGATTAATAATTTATAATATCTCAATTAAGTATACATATTGCAAATTCAATTACTCAAACTAATGAAAGGGACCTTTTAATCCTAAACAGCATTTTGAATCAAGAATTAACAATGTCATATTTTTTCCAATGTGGGGTCATTGATAGCCATTTTTATCCACCTCTCCAACGAAAACGAGACAATCAACATCTTAGCCATAAAAACTTAAGTTGATTTAAGTAATTTCTTTTAAAAAGGAACAATTGGGAGACCATTATCCGTAATTTTTTCCATTTGATTAAGCAAAAAAACGAATGAGTGCCCCCCCAATAATTTGTACTAATTAAATGAAAGACATAAAAGCTTTTATGCTTTTTCTAAGAGGTATTGGGTTTGACTAATAAAGCAAAGGATGTAAAAGAGTTGTTTATCATTAAGAAAATAATTAGTATATATTTCATTCAACATATTTTTCTTTTATATTTACCTAATTTAGTTGTTAAAATATAAGTATATTTTAAGTTAATCATTTCTTATATTTTGTATTTATGAGTATGATTATATTTTTAAATTTGTTTATTTTTAATTTTATATTAAAAATAATAATCTTTTAGTAAATGTATCATATGATATATCAAATTAAAGTATGTAGTAATCAATGTCTCTATCATTATTATGCAACACAAAATTGACAACAAAAAGTTTCTTATTCTCTCTCATTTTTTTTTAAATCAAAGCGAAGTATTTAGATGAGAAAAAATGTGAGAAAAATTATTCTAATTATATAACTCATTTATTACAAAACAAAAATTATTGATGTAAGGAAAAGATAAAAATATTTATTCCAAGGATCACTAAAAAATTAGAAAAAATAAAGCACTCAACAACTACATTTTTTTAATAAAATATAATAAAAAAACCCAACACATTATTGATAAGAGTTTATTAAAATAATGTAATTTTGAAATTTTTTTTCTTTAATTTTATAGAGATCTAGCTAATAAACATTAATATGTCAAAAATATATAAATTTTATAAGGTAAACATATACTTATATTTTTGTAAAATACATACTATAATCGTTAATGTCTCTTTGTTTAAAATACTTGTCATTTTTTAACTTTAATTTTATCTCAAAATAATTGTTCCTTTTTTTAAATAAATAAGTATTTTTTATTTTAATTATATTATTTATCTATTTTGATTTTTTATTCTATTATAAAAAATCTAACTTTATCTTTTAGTTTTTTTAAGAATAATATAGCTAAATATATGAATTATTTAAAATTTTTATTTTGTGAAAAAATAAAAAATAGTTATTTTAAAATAGGGGTAAAAATAATAATAATAATAATAAAGAGGAAATAGAGGAAAAATGTTGGCTTGATGCCTGACGGCGTAAAGGGGTGGGATTTTTTTTTGGCCATCCATCTGAAAGTATACGATGCATCTACTCAAATCATAAGATGACACGTAACCTGAAACTTTTAACTACAACTTGAACAGCGAGTACAGTTGCACCTCTCAAGTGTCTACTTTTTATGTTGTTGTCCGTACCAAATATAATTGCCTCAACCGTGCTATAAATATTCGTTGGAATAGTCCAGCACATGGAAGGTGTTCGGACAGTTAAAATTTGGATTTTATATTTTTAGATTTTTTTTTTGAAATTCTCTATTATCAAAAGAAAAAATTCATTGGAGTAATGCAGTCTCTCGAATAATCCAGCTCTTTAAAAAAAAAAAAAAAAAAAAAATGTTGACTCAACCGTGCTATAAATATTCGTTGGAATAGTCCAGCACATGGAAGGTGTTCGGACAGTTAAAATTTGGATTTTATATTTTTAGATTTTTTTTT